GATAGCATACAGCCGGTAAAAAGTCTTTAAAAAAATAGAACTGCACACACATGCCATGACATAGCCGGTAGGTATAGTACTTCACAAAAAGGACAGGACATAGCCTGTACACGCTTTAGATATAGTACTTCACAAATAAGATAGGACATAGCCGTTACGCACATTAGATTTAGTACTTCACAAATAAGATAGGACACAGCCGATATGCAGTTTAGATTTAGTACTTCACAAATAAGATAGAACATAGTCGGTGCACACTTTAGATAGATTACATATGTGATGAACTTTACAAATAAAATAGATAGAACATAGTTGCACACTTTAGATACACTTTTATATACATTACTTAGATATGGTGCACAAATAACATATAGGTACAAACACTTTAGATACCATTACTTCACAAATTTAGATAACATACACACTTTAGATACATTGCTTCGCAAAAAAAATAGAAAGGACACAGCTGGTACACGCTTTAGAAATAGTACTTCTCAAATAAGAAAGGACATAGCCGGTACACACTTTAGATATAGTACTTAGGCCGTTTAGACACCTCTGAGGCATGGTTCTACTCATTTTCATGCCTTCTGCTATGTTTCGGTTGCTATGACGCAACAGGCCTTTTCTCGGTTGATGGGCACAGGTTGCCAGTGTAAAATTTCAGAACACATCAAACTTTCTTGAAAGCCGTCATTAAACAGCCCACATGTACAAGAAATGCGAGAAGCAATCTGATTGGCTGGTATGAAAAGCTGCCAGCCAATCTCAAGACACAGGACCGACCGATCAGGCCAGCCGTCCTTTTGGCTACTTTGCGTTGGGCCGATAGTTCGGCGGCGTCGCCTCCAGAGGGTTAAAAATAAGATATGTCATAACCGATACATTTTTCACATACAGCGCTTCAAAAATAAGATAAAACAAAACTGATACTTAAAAAAAGGATGTAGCCAGTATACAAACACACGCTCGCACACACGCACACACACACACATACACACACACACACAGACGTCTGCATACATCTTGAAACGGTTAATAATTTATGTTTTTGGCAGGGATTTGGAAGAATAGTACCGTAGTTTATTGTGTGGGACACAAGGCACTTCAGCACAATTAACCGTAATTTTAATTAATCACGCTCATATGACCGTTATCGCGGAGATAAGAAGCCCCAAAAGATAACAGCATCGTAATACTTGTTTGCACTGTTCACAAAGCCCAGTGGTTGCTAACTTGAGCATCGGAGCACCTTGTGGAACCAAGACGGAAAGTCTAGGATATCGTATATTTGTTTATATTTAACTGACAGCTACAATCTACTTGTATTGTTACTTACTTTTCTAGAATCACCATGCCATCGGTCTTCTTTTCTGCTTCTTCCCCATTCCCCATTTACCTCCTTTTTCCCCCCCATGATGATGTCCTGTTATTTTATATCTTTTCCTCATAATATAATAACAAGCAGCACGAACAAATCTTTTTGAAATCTCAGTCACCCAACAGGAAAGGACCTTAATACAAGAGAGAGAGAGAGAGAGAGAGAGAGAGAGAGAGAGAGAGAGAGAGAGAGAGAGAGGGAAGAGAAGAATAGACAAACAGATAATCATAAATCAAGAATAGTAAATAGAAAGAAAGAGAGCAAGAAGTTAAAAAGTGTGAGAGAAATAAAGATATTAATCGACCGTATAACACTAACCTGAGAACCGCCGAGGCAAACTCTGAAGTTGACAACCGTTCTGAATCTCATCAATGTAAAGACGCCATGTTATCAGTGGCTGGCACCCAGCTGTCCCTTGTGACCAACTGTCAGGACTGTGTTTCCCAACATCTGTACAGCATTGTGGATCTGATTGTGCGTTTTGACAGTTTATTACTTGTTCTTGACCGCCGAGTTTTAAGAAATAATAAATTGTTATTAATTTAATTATTATCATGTGTTGGAAATCACACGGGGAATCGAGTTAATAAGTATAACTACTGCCCGCGATAAAAGAAGACAGAGATGCCCTCTATATTTGCAGAACCAACGCACAGCGTTTCGGGGCTGTTTGTGATTTTCAGTAAAAAATGTTTAGTTCAGTAGCTTGCTGTTGCCTACTGAACAGTCGACCCTCGATACCACTGTTGAAACTAACGCAAGGCGGTCCGTGCCCCTTTACCCGCAGCTGACATCGTACAAGGCACCCCGGAATTACGAAGCACTGTCGCAACGCCTAAGCCCTACTGTCTGAATAACGAATAAACTCATGGCGCGTTACATAGTCTTTTTACAGAGATGTGAAGTAAGCCGTGGATTTTAAAATTAATGCACCAGTCTCAGTAGGTGCCCTTGCAGCTGCAGTGACTAGCATGCCCGGCGGTATGTTGAACCGTGGTTGACCCTACCCCGGTTAAACCCCCGACCAGCGGAAATGTAAAATTGACTTAGGTTTTCACCCCCCCGAATGAGGTCAGTGTCTTGAACCATCCGCATGGCTATACTATCTAAATATTTATCTTTTTGTCTTCCTCTGACTGTCTTTCCGTCAACTTTGCAATTCGTTACCAAGATCTTGAGTACGTTCCTTCACATAACATGTCCGGAAAACACATACGGTTCACGTATAATTTGATCAGTTACAACTTGCACCTGTCTCTAGTAAGATTGTCTCGTTTGTTATATCATTCTTTTATATTCTTTTCCTGCTTCTCAAAAACAAGATCTCCACTGTGAGTAAAAGAAAAAGAAACAAGTTTAACTCTGCTAGTACCGATCAACTCACTGTGTGGTTGTTTTTTGTTTTTTTCTAGTGCTTTTATAAAAACTGTAATGCCCAATGTAACTGATACTGACACACGGCCTTCCACATGTTACTTAACCACTTGTGTCCCTTAACGTTATTATTTCAACCTCTCTGGATCTAAACATTAATTATTGTAGGAGATACATATCTTAGGAATCTATGACTGAACGTGATACCTGCCTAGAAGTAAAAGGGTTAAAGAAGCACTAACTTGGGAAACAAAGAATAATTGTGTTTTTTCCCCAACAAAACTTAGATAGTATATACTTTTTGGGCCTATCAAAAATTTTCAGTTTTAAATCATCAAAGATTAAAGCCGTTTTGATTGCGATTTTAAATTTCCTTGGACAAACCAAAATTTTAACTGCCGGTTTTCAAAACTGAACGGCTTCTTAACTGCGAAGATTCTTCATTGGAGCACCTCTTACAACAACAGAAGTGCCAGCATCATGTCATTCCAGAAACTTCACACAAACACCGAGTCGTACTTGGCGTTACCCACCCCGAACGGTCCCAGGAAAGAAGGCCGAAGATGCAGGCACCTGTCTGCGAGTTCTCGACGCTCGCTCGGCTCCAGGAGAGGCTCATCCTACCAGGAGTATGTGAACATTTTCGATAAAGCTTTCGCAGATGCTCTTAAAACTAAGGACGAGACTGAAGGAAAGGGTCGGAATGATACTGAGGATGAGAGCGACAACCGTTTCACCTATCTTGTTGTGTACATGATTCTGTTCTTCGGAGTTTTGCTTCTGGATAAGAAAGCCTTGTTGAGCCATGTAAGATGTAGTTCTTTCACCGGTTTATTTGTGGTAATGTTACCTCGATTTACTGTTTGTACAAACAACTTTTTAGGGTGGTTTAGGACAGGGGGGTCGTGAATCTGAGAATACAGGGGGGTCATCCGTGCTCTTTCTCTAGCTCTGTCTGTCTCTCCGATTTGTGTCTGTTTCTCTCTATCTTTCTCTCTCTCTCTCTGACACACACAACAGCAGCAACAACAACAATGACAACGACAAGCAAATCAGTGTGGATCATTTTTGTAAGGTGTGAAAACATTAAGCATGTTGACCTTCTATTCTTTCTGCCTCCATCCCTCTTTTTCTCGCTCCATCTGTTTGTGTCTCTGTCCACCTATCTATCTATCTATCTGCGTTCGTGGGTGGGGGTGGGTGTGTGTGTGTGTGTGTGTGGGGGGGGGGTGTCTCTCTCTGTCTATCCCCATCCCCTCATCTCTCTCTCACTCTGTATATTACACCATATGTATCCCTTCTCACTGTTTCTCTTTTTGTCTTTGTATCTCTGTTTCTTTCAATATCGCTCCACTTTCTCTCTCCTAATCTCTGTGTGCGAGCGCCTGTGTGCACACGCCTCTTACCTTTAAAAAGCTTTATCTGTATGTCTGCCTCCCTTCCTCCCTACCTACATACCTTCCTTTTTTATCTGTCTATCTTATCTTATCTTATCTTATCTTATCTTATCTTATCTTATCTTATCTTATCTTATCTTATCTTATCTTATCTTATCTTATCTTATCTTATCTTGTCTTGTCTTGTCTTGTCTGCCTGTCCGTCCGTCCGTCCGTCCGTCTGCCTGTCCGTCTGTCCGTCCGTCCGTCTGCATGTCGCCTGTCGGTTCGTCTATCTGTGCCTCCACATGTCCATCCATCCATTAATTCACCCATTCATCCACTGTCTGTTTACCTGACCATCTCTGTCTAGCCTGTATGTTTCATAGCCTCTGATAGAGAAGCGAAAGCCTGTATTTAAATGGGTTTCCTGAATGCAGATAGAAATCTTTTTCTCGTAGATGAATTTATGTATTTATTTATGTATGTATGTGCGTGCGCGCGTGTGTGCGTGTATGTATGTGCCCGCGCGCGTGTGTATGTATGTGTTTAAGTGAGTGGGTGGGCGTGTGTTCGTGAGTGTGTATATGTTTGTGCGCATACATTTTACCACCTATGCCATCCCCTCTTCTGATATACATAATATACATATTATTAAATGAAGATAACATGCTTTATTGATAACATACAAATGCTGTGTGAAAGATGGGTGGAAGGGCCGAATGTAAAACGAGCCTGCGTGCCCAATGTGAGAGTTTGAAAATAAAGTGCGTTCGTTCTTGTTTCTGCTTGCCTGCTGCATACCTGTCTTGTCTTACCTGATTCCCTCCCTATAAGTACTTCGTCTTCATAGGATGCTGACTGTCCAGTTTACCGCTACCCTGGTTTGTCTGTTCGAAGACATCGAGATTCCATGTTTCTCCAAACACTTTGGTAATAACCTAGATTTGTTCCCCCGCGGTCACCCTTGAAAAAGCGGTTGGCATGTTATGTTGTGGTTTAGGGCTAGACTGCAATACCTGTGCCCTTTTGACCCAACCCACCCAATTTCAGCCAACCCTTAATTAGTCGCTGTTAGATAGGGGGGCAGTAGATCCCCCCCCCCCCTCCCCAATCGCCCAGCCTCCTAAAATAGGGCTTTGGTAACCACACAAAGAAACTACTAGAAACATTTTTATGATATTCCTTCGTGCCACCTTCTCCACCCTCCCAGAGATGGTTTTTCTGCATAGAGTCGGCCGTGGTTTGCCTCCATCCGCTTCTGTCTCTTCTCTCTTTTACAACTTCTCCTTTCAAAGTAATTTCACCCTTGATGTTGTGTATTGCATTATCTCTGTGAGTCGGCTGAAATAACATTACAACCACGTTCGGTATGACACTGGAGGTTAGTTGGCAGTAACAGGTGGCATTGTCATTAGGTACGCTTGAGTCAGCAAAACTGCAACGATGCTTATGTAGACTGCAGAGGCGCCGGAACGGGAGGACACTTAGATCTATCAATTTTGCAAGGAGGCTAAGTATCTCCCCCTTCTTAACTATATATAAATATATATATATATATATATATATATATATATATATATATATATATATATATATATATATATGTGTGTGGTGTGTGGTGTGTGTGTGTGTGTGTGTGTTTGTGTGTGTGTGTGTGTGTGCGCGCGCGTGTGTGTGTTTTTTTAAATATCTTTTTAAGTATCCATTCACACATTTCACCCTAATTAATTAAATTAATTATTATTACATACGTAAACAAACCTTAGGCCTTGTGATCCCCACCTAAAATAAAAATCCCCACTCCCCTAAATATGTTAATGGTTTCTTCGTCCTTGATTCTAAGTGATTCACTGCACAATCTATGAACCTTAGGCAGGAGTCGCTCGCAGGTTTTTCAGTTTTCAATTTCTGTAGAGGTCCGCATTTTGTCAAGTTAAGGTTATTTATCTTTGTATCCAGACATAAATGTCCGTGGGCACCGAAAGTATGGATAGGTTGACCGCCACTGCAACTATATCAGAGGGTAACACTAACACGATTGCGTCATTTAGGAAGTAAAGCATGGCGAAGCACGCCTGTGCCGCTTTCGAGGCCCAAAAAGTAAAGTACCCTTTTCCACTCTCCGAGGCGTATTAAGCATACATGGCAAGACCTTTATTTTAAAGACCAATCGGTACTCGGTGGGTGACGTGGTCAACATCTCGCTGGCCGCCTTCAATCCCAGAACTTTCCCCGGTACCCATTTTAAGACTGGGTCGACCTAGGAGCCACAGTCATTTTTTGAAAAAAAAAAAAAAAAGTCCGACACCGCCAGGACCTGAAACTACAACCTTCGGATCAGCAGGCGAGCATTTAGCCGATACACCACGGCGGCTTCCCGAGGCCGAGATGGTAGACATTATAACCGAATCCGTCCCCGTGTGGGTTCCGGGGCCCCATTTTGGGGAAAACAAGAATAGACCCACTGCCTACCCAAAAGCATGTCGTAAGAGTCGACTAACTGGGAGCTTCCTTTGAAGTTGGAGTGCATCTGCCTGAAAGGCAAGGAACCAACAGTCTGCATTCAAATGAATCAGATCTGTAAAACTGATGCACACGCAACACTCAGGTTCTGGAGCAGGACTGCAGTCCAGGAGTGGACGAACAACCAGAACTTTCCGCCAGAGTGTACAGCTGGTGAACGCGAAGAAGAAGATAACCGAATCCCCTTGACAACAAACAGTAGGGGTACTTTGAAGTGGCTTCTGCGTCGGAGTTGCATTATATTAGAGCCCTTGAATCCCCACTGAATGTGTATATTCAAAAGCCACGATCTTCGCTCTTCACCTCACAAATTTATTCCCCAGCAGGAAAAAAAAAAAATGGCATAAAACTCTTTCAGATAGGCCTCTGCTATCGTAAATCATCACAACCGCCTGCAGTCGCCCATTTATAATATAACCCACTATGCAAGTCGGGGCATAGCTGACTGCATTTTATTGCCAAGTTGCTGTTTAATTGACCGACGGCTCCTGCCTGTTTACTTTGAGCAAGTCTGGCATACTTCATCACAATCCATCCACACCGGATAACTGGTTACTTCGTAACCGTTTTGTGGTGCCTCAAAATAACTTTGGCATGGCTAATGGTTGAACGGGTTTTCACGGATTTATAGCTGTTTGTTTTTAATCCTTGATAGGTTAATATACATAATTCAAACCTGGAGAAGAAAAACGTAAGAAAAAGAGAAGTCTGGCATAGGCGGAGTTCTGTGGGTTGGTTCATGTCACACATGTGGGCATAGCCTCTGTCCCTCTACCCAGCTACTTATCTGCTTTCTTTTGTATCTGTTGTCTCTGTGTGTCCCATCTACCCAGCTACTTATCTGCTTTCTTTTGTATTGTCTCTGTTGTGTCCCAATCTCTGCTTTCTTTGTGGCTCAGTCTTGCCCAGGTAGGCCACCACTGACTGTGTCTGGAGTATGTAGGCACTGTGCTTGTTATTGTTGGCATTGTGAAGGTATTTATGTTGTCCAGGTTTTTATGTCATAAAAGCTTTTTTTTTTAAAGTGTTTATGCTGTGAGGGGATTTCTGTCACCAAGTTATTTATGTCATTAGGGTATTTGTATGCGAGGATATTTATGCCTTGATGGTATTTATATCATGAAAGTATTTATGATGTAAATCTAATTGTCCCAAAGGTATTTTTGCTGAAAATCTTATCTGTTCTAAGAAGATGGTAATGCTGTGAGGGTATTTATGTCATTGAGGTATTTATTTATGTCATGAAGGTATTTATGTTATGAGGGTGTTTATTAATGCAGGTGTTCATGCTGTGAGGGACATATCCTGATGTAACACTTGATACTCCCATGAGATCAAATACTGCTTACCTTGGGGTCTTCAGATATGCTAACCATCACCATCTAGTGCCATTTAGGGGTTGTAAATCTTTTATCAAGAGGTGGGAATGCCAGGGACCTGCGATAAAACTCTAATTAAGGTGATCATAATTTCTCTGCTAGCTACAGAGAATAGAATCCTAACCAGCACAGTTCACAGTGGCTCCACTAGCCTAGCCGAGGGCTGCACTTTTGTACACATTTATTACTGTTTGACCCTTCCTGGGCAAAACTGCACTTTTGATACCGCCCCAAAGTTTTGTTGCGTTTTAGTGTTCTCTCTCCTTAACAATGTTAGGATCAGAAATCACTCTGCTTTGAAGACTTTAACAATGAATACATTGATGAGATCAAAATTATTGCTCCACAACGTTTATGGCACAAATTGGAAGATGCCTTCAGCAACTGTGTAACAGCTCCTGTCAACAAACAAAAATCATATGGCAGAGCAAGGATGTAATAGGGAAAAAAAAAATTAATTTCTAGTTATATAAAAGGTAAGCCAGTTGTAAATGTGTTTTTAGAAAAAAAAAAAAAATTCTGGTGTTTTCGGGTACCTTTGCAAAAAAAAAAAGATTTGGCACTCTTTCCCAAATAATTTCGGCAGCCCTGGCCTAGCCTCTAGCTTAAGACCTCTATAGCCCTTAAACATGGTAAGTTGAGGGCTGTATGGAAAGGTTTTTATTTCGTGTGGGAAGGGCAGTTAAATATTTGGTCTGTGTTACTTTTATGTTAAAGCTGGTTTGTTATTGCTGTTCTAGGATTTTATTTCCTGCTACACATGAGCAGTCAACAGAGCTAAACATTTCAACCCCCTTCTGTCTTGTTCATTTTTATATATGTGTAATATACACAGTGGCCTATTGATTTATTTGAACACTCCTTCAAAACCTTCAATGTTAGGCAAACAGGCAGTTTGATAGAAATCGATCAGTCAGGCTATCTGTACAGATACTTAGACAGTTAGTCAGTCAATTAGACCATACCATACAAGGCATGTACCAAATGAGGAAAAGGACTTAGAATGAATGGAGGAACAAACTTTTTTTTTTCTCAAAGGGTTGAGAATTGGGCACACTCTAACATTCTGCCCTTCCTGTCTCACTCCTACAGTTATTCATTAACACTTCATTTCATCTGTAATAATAAACATTTTTAACAACATCTAAGTCCTAATTACAAACACATTAGCACAAGATAGATCAAGAACAAAATGGAAAGATAACATCAGAGCAATTCTGTAACAGTATCAAATGCTTATGGTCAAGGCAGCCATAAGAGCGAGAACAAGAACATTGCTTCCACCTCGACACCTACAGTGGTAGAGGAGGAAGCGAAGAAGAAGGAATCATATGGTCAGACAAATTAGTTGAGTAGTCAGTCAGATAATCAGTTCGGAAATTATTCAGGTAGAATGTCAGTTAAAAAAATAAAAATAAATCTTGTAGTCAGCTAGAACATTAATCAACTAGACAGTCAGTCAGAAAACTAGACAAAGTGGATAGTCTGTGCAACAGAGTAGATCCACGGGAGTGTCCGGTACCCCACAGGCATGTCATTGATGTCCAGTAATAGAATTTTGATATGTGTAGTTATACGGATGACAAATGAAGAGGTCTTATCAGCCAGCATATGACTGGCACTGTTTTACCAGCAGGATATTGATGTAAAGTTTAAGGGAAAATGGGGTAATCTGACACATGTGAATATGTCTGAAGTGCTGTGAGGGCAATCCAGTTCACAACACTAGAGCAGCACTTATAAAAACGTTTTCTTCTTCTTCTTTTTCCTCCTCTTCCTCTTCAACCTCTTCCTCCTCCTTTTCTTTTTCTTTCTTTCTTTCTTTCTTTCTTTCTTTCTTTCTTTCTTTCTTTCTTTCTTTCTTTCTTTCTTTCTTTCTTTCTTTCTTTCTTTCTTTCTTTCTTTCTTTCTTTCTTTCTTTCTTTCTTTCTTTCTTTCTTTCTTTCTTTCTTTCTTTCTTTCTTTCTTTCTTTCTTTCTTTCTTTCTTTCTTTCTTTCTTTCTTTCTTTCTTTCTTTCTTTCTTTCTTTTTCTTTCTTTCTTTC